ACACCTGCCTGGAAGACTCTGGTCTGATACGAGCGCACCCGGCCTCGGCCCGCACCGCTGGCCCACGCTGCCCCGCTTCCACGCCTGAGTGAGTCCCGCTCCTTTGCTCCCTGCCGGTGCTGCTCACGCTCTGGGTCTCTTGCTCGGTTCGCCTCCTTTTTCTGCGGATGCGGAACCGATCCAAACTTCTCGGCGGCCCCGGCTGGGGCGGCTTTGCGCCCCTCGCGTGCCGGGGTCTGCTGGCCTTTCTCGCGCGCGCGCCGGCACGCGGGAGGACTGGGCTGGTAAAGTGAGGGCCATGGCCGGGAAGCGTACTTTCTTGGTGTCCTTGCTTCTTTCGCACACCTGCCTGGCAGACTCTGGTTGGATACTTTTGTACAGGTCGTGGGGATGGTCTTCTTTAGAGGAGAAAGGCGGAGTGGGGAAGCCCTGAGAGGGCAAGCGGGGAAAGGGGAGCCACTCCGTGAGCCCTGGTACCTGGAAGGCGGCGAGGTGCCTGGTGGAGTGAGAAGGTCGCGCGCCAGATCTGCAGTTCACTCTGCATCCTATCCTGGCCCATCTACCCCTATCCTTTCCCTACCAGCACTGCTTGGCTGGTGGCGGGTGGCGATGGAGAGGGGCCCGGGAAGTTTGTGGCAACTTATCTATCCCGGGAACCACTCGGGCGCTGGGCGCTCAAGTTGGAGCCTAGAGTTTGAGAGCCGAAGTAGAGCGCTTATGGAGCCCCCGCAGGCAATCGCGGGTCGGTCCTGGAGGATGATTCAGGCTTGGGCTTGGGCTTGGGCGGGAGGCTAGGGGACGTGCGCGCTGTCTTAGCTGGGATTGTGGCCACACAGGTGCAGCCCTGGGATCAACTCCTTCTTTCCCTGTAAAGGTTCACACTCAAGAGCTGCGGCCTTTCCCAGTGCTCCGTCATTGCAGAACTCCCGGGACGGCCGAACTGGGGTTGGAGAGCCGGGATGCAAGGGACTGAGGGGGCAGGTGGCAGGTCCGGAGAGCGACACGTGCGTGTGCCTGTGGCGAGCAAAAGGCGCTAAAGAGATCCCTTCTGGGATGAACACAGAACACCGAGAGCGGAGAGCAGCATAGAGCTCAGGGTAGGTTTTGGCCCCGGCCTCCACTAGGATCAGATTTTACTTAACAAGATGTCAACTACGGGGTCATCTCTCTCAAAATGCCCGTTGACAACTTTGACCTCTGCGTCCTTCCTGGGAGAACTTTCTCAGAGGCGTACCGGATTTCCAGGGTTAAGACTTGGATTTCACTTGGTCATAGGGACAGGGAAGACACCTGGTTCCCTGGAGAGAACCTGTCTGCTCGCGATTGATTGCCTGGGGTTCCATGTTTGTTTGAAGCCTTGGAGGCCAGAGCACCCGACTTTCCAAAGAAGACAGAAGAGGGAATTGAGCATGAGTCAGGGTCTCTGTTTCCTAGGAGTCAGGTTTTGTCCTTAAGCAGTATCTGGAATTTACAGTGTTTGGACTGCTGACAGTAGCTCAGCCTCCCAAACTTTACTTAATTTTACACCTTATCCAAAGTGGATTTTCTGAAAGAGTGAGATTTATTCTGTAGTCAGATTCTCCTGCAATAAATAAATAAATAAATAAATAAATAAATAAATAAATAAAGGCAGGCAGGCCATACTTTATGTCCCAGGAAAGCCAGGGTTGAGGTTCTAAAAACCTTTATGAATCTCCCATGTAGAACTTGTGCTTTGACTTAGCAGCGGCTCTTTATTTCTATGGCATATTATTTTAGTAGAATAGTAGTAGTGCATACACTGGCTGCTCCAGTCTGCTGGCAAACATTAGCATTCAAGCTTACATTTTTGACAAATGTGCAGACAGGAATAGCATGAATAGGCATCTTAAATATTAACAACCCAAGCATCTGTTGTGAAACAAATTTAATATATTTACTCAGTCTTTCTCACATTGTTAGGAAAGGTTATAATAAGTGCTTAATTTCAACTTAACTTAGCAGAAGTAACTGACGGCATCATTTATACCTCCCAAGCTTTAACACAGTCACCAGGCAGAAATACTTTAATTAACTTGGTTAAAGGCATTGTTAAATAAATACACTTTAAGCAATGTGCATACTATGTAACATGCAACAGTAGCAAAAATATTCATCCTATTTGTGTGCATTTTAAATGACCGCATCTTATAAATATACCAAGAATGTTTATTCTTCATCTCTATTTGACACTTATTAGTTCATTTTTTTCTAATGGAAGCAATATTTTAAATGTAGAATTGTTCAGTCATATGTAATACATAATATGTAAACAGTAGCAATAAAATACAAAGCATTGTTAAATTTGAATATGGCTACATGTAACAAGGTTATGCAAGAGAAATAAAATCACTGCTCAATTTTGTTTTTCGTTCTGAATAATGAATACAGATGATGGATGAAAAAAGAACAAATAGGGATTTCCTCCCTGAAGTAATAGCTTCTTTAAATGTATGGGAGATAGGGGAAGGAGAACAATGATAAAGACCTAGAGAACTTCCCAAATCCACATAGTTGGTTCCAGAATCAGTGCATTCCTTGCTTTCCCACAAGCTGAAATATGTAATAAATAATAGTTCTTTTGTATGTAAAAGTATTCAAAAGGAATGTCTTTTGTTCACTTGTAAAAAATTAATATATTCTTCTTTGGTTGATAATTTACAAAAGTAGTTCCTTTGTCTCCCGACATCTTAAACAAGAGCAACAACAAAATGAATATTAGTTTATTCTGCAAAGACGTCTGTTGCCAGCTATATGAACCTGTGACTGAGTGAGGGACTGCTGCAGAATGATGGCTGAGAAACACATTAAACTAGCAAGGTCTGAAGATCTGGGAGGGAATTTCAATTATTTTTCCATGTGACAGGTTGTAGGTTGTAAATTAGGCCTAAAAGGTCAGGTGACAGGCACCTGTTCCTCATTATTGTAGAAATCTTTTGGTTACAAACAGTGCTAAGCTAAACACAACATGGGTATAGCAGGGGCTCTCTAAAGCACTCTAGCGGTTTCCACCTGCTCTGTGAATTTCCAAACAGGACATACACAGAGAGGCCCTGCTTAGAAACACATCATTTCTTCCATACATGTTATCTTGGATGATTGCAATTAATATTATATTAGTACTTGGAATTGATGAAGTACATAAATGCACATGACTAAATCAATCTTCTAATTATGTCTAGACATTATAGTTGAATGCAAAAATACTCTTTTTTTAAAAAAAACCCTCATTTTCTTTTGAAAATTATTGACTGGATATCAGAATTGTGTTCACGTTTTACATGGAAGACCTCGCCAAGTGCCCTTTTATACTTCTTAAGATAAATTCTCATTTAAAATGAGGCCATAAAATATTTTTCTCGGCATCCATATATAGGAACGAAAATCAGTTGCTCCATACTGTCATAGTTTTGTGCCATACGCAGCATAAGAAAAGCACATTGTATACAAATGCTGCTGGAAAGCTCTTCAGACCTAGCTGCTCTCCCTATTGAAATAAGACACTACAGCTTAATCCTATAAATAGTTTCCCTTTAGACATTCCAGAGAGCAAACTATGCTTGTATATGGAAAGACCACACTAGCATAAGGTGACAGAATATTAGAGGTGCCAGTTGCTTTTAATTAGCAGAAGAGGAAGATTTTGTGTTAAGTAAATAACTCAGGTTATTCAGTTCTGTTATCTAAATATATTCTTTATCCTTTTTGCCATTAAATAGCTTGTGCTTATTATATGAAGCATTCATTTTTAGTATTTGCTTTTGAAATTGATTTGGTTTTCATATTCCAAAACTCTGTGGTGATTTTTTTTTACAAATTGATTTACATTTTGGCAGAATAGAGTTAAGTTAATTAATAGATCAGGCACGAAAAATAACCCACAGTAGGGTATATTTTCTGGTAAAATGAAAGTTATGTTTCAGCATGATGAGCACCAGGCTTCAGTAATCTGCTCCTCGTGTGCAATGAGCACTTCCTACTTTGAGCTAGCAGGCACCTACTGTTTATTTACGCTGCATTAAACTGACAGCTCAGCAATCAGAGGAAAAATATTACTTACCTTCCTGAAGTAAATACCAGTTTATAGGTTAGTGCACGTATTTATATTCCTGTCACCACTAAATAACGGCTCTGTCTCTATTTTAATATCTACCTGGGCTGTAACCCAGGGATTCACACTCTTCCTGGCTGAGAGGAAGGGTTCGAGAGGAGTTTTTCTTCCCATTCCCTAGTGGCAAAACTTTAAAGAAGAATCATTTCATCTTCTCATTTCTGTCATGTGAAACTAGTTGGGAGAAACGCTGGGCACTTCACTGCAGCAGCTGGCTCCCGGCGCACTGGCATGCCACTGAACACAGCCACCCTGAGGATCCTGTGCACACATGTAAGCACAGACAAGTATGTGCTTACTAAATTAACTTTCTACCAAGTTCCAAACCGGTCAAACTATCTGATTCCTTAGATCACGCCTGTGACACGGGCTCTGCCTTTCCATTCCTGGACAGAATGTTTCAGGTTTCAATGGAGTTCTGCAAACAAGCCTACCAAGTGGGCTTCCTGACCGAGTGACTGTTTCTCAGCTCCCCTAAACATACTCTCGCCTTCTTGTTTTTCTTGTGGTTAATCTGCCATCCTCAAAAGAAGGGTTGTAGCCACTTTTATTTTAAAATACTGAATAAACTTGTTTCTTTTCCCATTCAAGATCCCTCTCTTTCAGGGCCCCCCTGAAACCTCAACACCCTGCTAAAGTTGAATGCCCAAGTTCATGATTAACTTGAGAAATTGCTTATTGTTGTTTAAATTGTCTAAGGAGCTCTCGAGCTTATTGCCTGTACACAGTTGTCAATCTCTAACCACATACTCCACTGACATCAGTGCAGAATATGGCCTTAATACAGCAAGCATGTAAATCAAATCTGTTACACAAGGCTCCTTCCCTCCATTCTCCCAAAGAAAAAGCATCTCCTATGGTAATTTATATATCATTGCTAACTGCTGTTCTCAATGGTGAGTCTATTTAAACTTGATGTCTTCATAGTGTGATCAACACATTAACACACATTATTTTGTACTTTTGATCTTATGCCAACAGTACCTTTTGCTGTTTATTTTTTTTAAAGTCTTTTTAAAGATCAGATATTTCATTTTAGAGTAAATAGATACAGATTGTGTGTATATGTATTCCGGGTGAGATCTAGTAGTAGAGAATTTCTCTAGCATATTGGCCTATTTTTATTCCTTCAAGTCATTCTGTATCACTTGCACAGTTGTTGCTGTCTGCAGGCTTGTAATAGTAATTCTAACCACCTCCTTCAATGGACTTTCGTGGATGTGATTCAGTCAATCGGGGATCCAGTTCAGTTACGACGCATGAAAAGTGATATCCCAGGATTTCTATCACTACTTTCTGCTGAAATTTATCTGGTCCAGTTATTTGATATTTGTTGAAGTAGCTTGTAACCAAACATACAGTGTCTGCTCTGTTTCCAGGGAAGGGAAGACCATGCTGGCCCATTTTGGTGTCTATTATTTTATTTTACCTAGCGCTCATTTTAGAGCCACTCATTGTTGAAGACATTTTTGAGTATCTAAAGGTGCAGGTCCCAGTAAGGAGGGTGAAAGGCTTGCAGAAGAGGTAGCTGTCTGGCTCCACCTGGTTGTGACTCTACTAGAATGCCTGTGGATCTAAGCCAGCCTCCTGCCGCTGCTCCATTCTCCCCCCCACCCAGGTGTGCCGGAAGTAGAGGGCGTTGTACACAGAAGAGGGGGTGGACTCTACTCAGAGCTGTGACCTGATTTGTGACGCACCCTCAGATCTGCAGACATGGTCCAGCTGCTTCCTAGGCAACTGGTAACCACCTCCTTGGGGATGTGCCTGCTTTACTAGCCTGCCAGAGAGAACTTCTGCACTGTCACCCCATCAAAGACCTTTCTTCTAGGGATAGATTTGGAGATCAGCCTCTGGTATTTGAGAGGGTAAGTGTCAGAAAAGTTACTACAGGCACTCAGTCCCATGTGGAGAATCAGGGTTGCAGCCACAGTAACTGACCGGCTTTTGGCTCTGGGATGTTGGTGGACA